GCGGTGTTTCCACAGAAATGCTGCGTGTTTCCACGGTGAAGATGCGTGTTTCCACGGAGAAACTGCATATTTGTACGGAGAAGAGGCTTTCCGTGACAGAACAATGGCAATATTCCACGGACAAGTTTGATTTCCATAGAATAACAACACATTTGTACGGAGAAGGTGCAACTTTGTACGGAGAAGGTGCAACTTTGTACGGAGAAGGGTTGGCCCGTATGGGCCACCGTTTCATATTTTATTTTAACACTGCAGAGAACAACAAAAAAATACTTTTCTTAGGCTTAGCGGGATTTGGATTTATACAGCTTCCAAGGGATCAATTGGAGATCTAGACATTTAAAATATAATGATGACTTTCTACACGTACATTCTTGTTTAGTCTTCGTTGAACACTTTATCTTTCGAGGATGGCATACATCTGTGGTACTTGTTCAAAGAGTTTCACTCAAATGAGGAACTTAACTCGACATATGAAAACAACGCATCTGGGGGGGGGGTGCTTTCCATTTAATGGCCTGACCGGTCAGACCCGAATTTTTGTCTCTGTATCAATGGAAAGATCTGGTCTATCTTTCTGAAATATCTAGCGAAAATGAACCTCATTCTAATTTTATTTAAATTTTCCGGTCAGATAGGTCCAAAGCCCAAACGTTTTGTGTTCCATTCAACAATTTGACCGTTCTGACCGGTGTGGCCGCGTTATTGGAAAGCGCCCTGGGTAAGACATTTAAGTATCAAGAGTGTGATAAGTTGTTTACAAGAATAGATGCCCTCATTCGTCATGGTCAGCAACATCGGCAGTTGGTCACCCACAGATGCGATAAGTGCCTGCAAGAGTTCTATCGTCGTGATAGGTCCCATTTGTTATTTATGCTGAATTTGAAAGCGTCACAGCCAAGATCGATTCAGTTTCCCCAAATCCAACTAAATCACCTACTGAGAAATACTAGCACCATGAACCGTGTGGATTTTCCTACATAGTCATATCAGAAGTCAAACAATATTCCAAATCACCTGTGGTTTATCGTGGTGAGGACGCTGCGGATAAGTTTCTGGAGTGTTTAGAAGAAGAGCAAAAACATATTCAAGAGAAACTTGATTTCGTCGAGTCAATGCGAATTGGAAGAGAAGAAGAGCAGGCGTTTCAAGATGCAGTCAATTGTCATATTTGTGGATATGAGTTGGGAGCCGATCGTGTTCGTGATCACTGTCATCTCACCGGAAAGTTTCGTGGAGCTGCACCATAGAAATAATATGAATATAGAATGCGTACTTGACACGAATCATGTCTCCACTTTTTCTCATGCGTGCCCTTATAAATCCGCCATGTTGAATTTGAGTAGGAGTGCAAAATACAAAGTATAAACAAAGCTAAAACTACGTTTTCATCGTCAAAACGTTTTGTCTTGTTGTCTAATTTGTAGTTTGGGGATAAATTTTGAGTTCTTTGAAGGCACAAACTGTCAAAGCAAATCTGCAGTTACAGAAACGGTGAAAATCGTGCAGTCTTGTAAAAACAAAGTAGTTTCGCGTAAATATAATTCACTCATAAAACATTTTTTTGCATGCTGAACGTTACTACTGTCACAGTTTTGCAAATATCTTATAAGATTACAAAATGATAGTTCTTTCTTCGTGTGTTTTCATGTTCTTGAAACAAAAATATTTAGTTGTCGATAAACTGTAAATTGCTTAAATAATCGTCGAAAACTATAGTTTCAAAAGCGTTGCCTCAAGCTCAAGCATGCAACGTACAAAAATATGAAAAGTAATTGTGTAAGTATAAAAAGATTATTGAACTTCATTTATATTATAAAAGAGTTGAAATATTTGTAGAACACACCTTATTGAGTTTGAGTTTGTCTTGAACTTTCGTGTTTTGTTTTGACTTGCAAAACAACGTTGAAAATTTATTTTTAAACGACGATTTCTGTTTATATTCTGTTCAGAACTATTGCTTTTCGTATTAAAAAAAAGCCCACTGGAATGGGGTTTTAGACACTTTTTTTACTTCAAAACGTTTTTCCATTTTAAACCTCGATATAAAATTTGTTGCAAACTTTGCAGTTGAAAAAACAATTCGCACTCCCTGCAACCACGCGAAATTCCCCGCCTCAGGAGTCTGTGATCAACAAAAATGCCCTTACAAATCCGCCATTTTGTGGAGACAAATGTTTTACTGAGAAAAGATAGGAGTACGCATTCTATGTCTATTATTTCTATTATTTCTATGAGCTGCACACAACGACTGCAATCTGAACTATAGTTTTACTGGACGAATTCCGGTTATTCTTCACAATCTACGCGGGTATGACTCTCATCTGATTATGCAAGGACTTGGAAAACTGAAAAATAAGAAGATCAACTGCATCCCGAATAACACCAAGAAATACATATCTTTCTCCGTCGATAATTTGGAGATCGACTATCTGTAATTCATGAATGCATCGCTGGAAAGTTAGTATCCAATCTAGCAAAGGACGGTTGAGACGGTGATAATAAGTTTCCAACTCTAAATAAATACATCGACAGCGATAAAGTACAACTGCTTCTGAGAAAAGGCGTCTACCCCTATGACCATATGGATTGTATAGAAAGATTTGAAGAGCCAACCTTACCACCGAAGGGGTCATTTTACAACGTACTGAACGATGAACAAATTTCAGACGGGGACTACGCCCACGCAACGAGTGTGTTTAAAAGCTTCGTGTGTCAGAATATGGGTGATTACCATGATTTGTATTTGATGTCTGATGTTCTTCTCCTTGCGGATGTGTTTGAAAATTTCCGAAGCGTCTGCTTGAAAGCTTACAACTTGGATCCTTGTCAGTTCTATACAAGTCCTGGACTGGCAGCGTGTTTGAAAATGACCGACGTGGAACTTGAGCTGGCTTTTGACTGATCCAGACATGTATTTATTCGTTGAGGAAGGTCTTCGTGGTGGAATTTCGATGATAAGTAATCGATTCAGTAAAGCAAACAATCCCTATGTTCCTAGTTATGATCCTACGCAGGAGAATTCCTATGTGATGTATCTCGACGCTAATAATCTTTATGGCTGGGCTATGTCGCAACCTCTACCAACTGGTGAATTCGACTGGTCAAATGAAGAAAAGATATCCAACCTCGACATCATGCAAATTCCTGATGACTCTGAGGAGGTTTATATTCTCGAAGTGGATCTAAAGTATCCTAAGGAGTTGCATGATCTACATAACGCTATCCGTTGGCTCCTGAAAAGATGAAGATTCTATCGGAAATGTTATCCGGCCTATTGCAAACAACTCTCAGAAGATTTAAAGCTTGGAAGTGTCGCAGTCCCCAAACTAGTACCCAACCTCAACGATAAGACCAACTATATTGTACACTACCGTAATCTGAAGTTAGGGACCGGTCATTATTTATGGCGGGGGGTGGCACCGAAGAGAAAAGGGTTGGGTAAACAAAATTTTAAGTAAGTAAAAGGTTGGGTAAATGAAAAACAAAACAACTCAAGGGTTGGGTAATAAAAAATTATTGTCATTTCCAAAGCATGACTCACTGAAATATTGGAGACTAAAAAGCAATGTCAATATAATATGTGAATCAAGTCATTATCTTCATCATTTTCCAATTTGTCAGGAGACAAATTGTGTCTCCAAAGAAACTACAAGTGTAGACAATATGAAACTTTAGATTGCAGAAAATTTCACAAGCCGTTGTTATCAAACTCATGTCACAGAAGTGGCAATTAAAAGGACATGTGTGACAACTGAATGGTATCCTTTCGTAAAGGTTTTGGCCAGGGGTGGGTATTCATTTTTGAATTGATATTTGAGGTTGGGTAATCAAATTTTTGACTTTTTAATGGTTGGGTCAGCAAAATTTTTTCCACAAAAAACATTTCTCTTCGGTGCCACCCCCCCACCATAAATAATGACCGGTCCCTTATATCTGGCATTGGGAATGGAGTTGACAAGAATCCATAGAGTATTGGTGTTTCAACAAAGTCCATGGCTTAAGACCTATATTGATTTCAACACAGAAAGAAAAAAGCATGCTGCGAATGACTTTGAGAAAGATTTTTACAAGCTGATGAATAATGCGATGTTTGGAAAGACCATGGAGAATTATCTGAGAAAGCGAGTCAATGTCAAGTTGGTCAATGATAAAACAAAACTGACAAAACTAACTGCTCGTCCATCGTTTGAATCTTTCCGCATATTTTCCGAGGATCTAGCAGCCGTGAATTTGAAGAAGACGAAGCTCTACCTAAACCGTCCCATTTACGTGGGATTTACAATCCTGGATCTCTCAAAGGTATTGATGTATCAGTTTCACTATGAATATATGAAACAGAAGTATTGTGCTAACGCTAAGCTGCTTTTCACAGATACGGACAGTCTATGCTATGAAGTAAAGACCCGTGACATCTACCAGGACATGCCGGAAGACGCGCAGAGCTATTTGACGCATCCGAATATGCACAAGACCATCCTCTTCATAGTATCAGAAACAAGAAAGTTCTCGGTAAGATGAAAGATGATACGCATGGAATTCCAATTCAAGAATTTGTTGGTTTGAGGCCAAAGATGTACTCTATCCTATACACCGAGAATAGCAAGTTGGTGGAGAAGACAGCTAAAGGAATAAAGAAGTCGATGACAAAGAAGAAGATAAGACATGATAATTATAAAACCTGCTTATTCGATAAGAAGCAGACAAAAGCGTCAATGAATCAGATTCGAAGTCATGATCATGAGATCTACTCCATCAAATTAAACAAGATTGCTTTAAGTCCATATGATGATAAACGTTTTATTTTAGAAGACGTTATTAATACATTAGCTCATGGACATTATAAAATTAGAAAATGAGTTGTGTAGCATTTTAAGATGATGTAATAAAACCTTGTAATGTGATAAATTCAAATACACATCTTTACACTCTTCTTCTATTGTCTTTCATGCTTTGCGGAATTTTGAAGAAAATGAGATGTAGTCTATACAGTACATGATGGCGGAGCGAGGTTATAGACTTATAGTTGATGGAAGGGGTCCCTGAGGATAGGAGATGCACTTCGAGAATCGGGCCATAAAAAAGGCCTTCCAGGCCATTTTTAACAACTGAAAAAAACATTTAACAGTTTGTTCTTTCCCTTTAAAATCATGGTTAAAATCAACTTGTACTGTTTTCATCAAATATATAAATATTTGAAAACATCTGATTACTTTAAACCTAAAACATACGAATCATAAAATATTGTGTAATGAAACAAAGAAAACCGAGCTTATGGGAAATAACATCATAAACATGTAACGGTAAACTATTAAATTTAAGGGACTTCCGAGACACAAAAAAACACTTTTTCAAACAGCAAACTGTCAAGATTTCTTGAAACGACATGTAATTAATGGTCAACGCTTACTTAATAAGATTAAAATTGCATATGACCAATATGAAATGATACTACGATGACGTCATGGGTGGAGCACTAGTGCAGAACCCCCACTTTGTATACTACACATAACTTTAACACTTCTACATTGTGTTTTTTTGTTCTCTCATCACATTAAAACGAAATTTGCGAAAATTCATCAAATTCGTGTCTCAATTTTGTCAAAACTATATAAATTATGCGGAATGACGGCGCCCGGCGTTACGTCATAAAATACAGCTCTCTGATTCGCTGGGAGATTTTAGCCAGCGAATCAGAGAGTTTTGTTGAAATTTTAAAAAATTTCCAGCGAATCAGAGAGCTTTATATGAACCAACTGCATGAGCAGCATTAACTGTACGACCTCTCCATTTTGTAAATTTCGATGAGGGAAAATAGTGGAAACAATTAAACTTTTTTTATACTGTCCTCGATATGCTGCTCAGCACCAACGGTTGCTTTCTTCGCCTGCACAGTTGCTCCGTGCTTCATGGTTAAGCTTATCGGAACATCAGATAGTTGAAATATTTCTGCATGGTTCAGAAATAATCGTTTATGAAGAAAATCAAATCTTGATGCGAGACGTTATTTTTCAAACTAAGCAATTCACTTCTTTAACTGAATACTAATAATCTTTAATAAGTTTAATAAGTGTTTAATAAATTGATCTTTCTTGATGAGCCTTGCTCTTGGAGAAATGTCGTTAAAGAAGGGCCTGTTGGGGTCTAGTATATTATTAACGGAGCAACATCGTTGGTGCATGGAAAAGCAAAGTGTACCGTCAATAGTGGAGAATAATGATTGGGTTATACTGTGGGATCATAGGTTCAGTAAAAACCGATTATTAGAATTTAGCAAACCAGATATAGTGTTTGACAACAGACAATCAATGGAGGGGACCATGTAGTTGAAATAGGCATTTGTTTTGATCAAAAGCAGCAAAGGAAGCTGCAGGAAGAAAAAGTTTTAAAGTATGTAAAATTAGAAGTGGAAACCAGTAAGATATACGAGTAACTGAGATTATTGGCAAAAACTGAAGATGAACTCAAAAGGATCCCCATGGAATCTCGGCAGAATCAGCAAGGAAAGACATGTGTACAGAACAATGATTATAGAACTACAGCAGGAGGACTAGTTATAAAAACTTGAACTCGTTGAGATATATTTGTATCATAGGCCTAAATTTGTTTTGTGTGTAGGCCTACTTGTATATATTGCATGGGTGTACTTGTATATATTTGTTTTTTTGTGTATTTTTATATATTGGGTTATTGGGCGTTGCATAAGTTTAACGTCATGTGTTTCTATGGCAACACGATATTTTTAATTTTTTTATACTTTTTTGTACAAATGGTAAAAATAGTTGAAAGAAAGTACTTTTAACTATAAGACAATGAATTTCCGAAATATATATTGTATGTTCTATTGCATTTTGTGCATGAGCTTTGATTTAATCGAAAACGCTTCGTAAACTGATGTTTTAAAATGTTCATTCCGATAGGCGATAAACTAGCTGTTTTTAGCTTAATAAACGCAATAAGTTCAAGTTATTGAGTAATTTCAGTGCGGTGTTGAAATTAATTTACTCTCCTTTACATTTTAAGTTTTTTCCTTAACTAATCAGGGTAGTAATTTAGGAAACGTATAACTCAGTATACATTGAAAATGACTGAAAGCAGTGCATGTTTTACGCAAAAAATTAAAGCAACAAAATTCATAAATATCAATATTATATACATTGAAAGACTTGAATTGAAAGCAAACTTGCCCTATATATTTTCGGGTTTAGGTTATATATTGTGTGTGCATGTGATTTGTAACTTACCTTGTTAGGTATAGGACGGGATACTAGGCGTTACAAATATGTGTGTAACTGAATTCAGTAATTTACTTTTGATAAAGCTTCTACTCAATCCCGCAAACAGAGTTTCATGGTGACTGTTCCTCCAGTGACAAGGCAGAAACTACAAAGTCCGTAGATGCGAACCTGTCAGTAAAACATCACAAGTTCGGATCTACGGTTGTTGTTGTTTTCCGCGCTTTATAGCTATGGCTCACTATGAGCTATTTTTCAAATGGCGATCCGCGTTATTTTAGGCTACATCTGTAACAATATAATACTAAATATATATAACATTGATTCTGCGACATAACATATATTAGCCGTGTATAAACCTCATGCATATA